CCCAATAGCATAAAGAAGTGGGTTTGTTTCTACGCACTTGCCTTTCCATTTGGCACAGAGGTCTTGAAATTTGTACTCCTGTTCGTCATTCCCATACACAGTGAAATTGAAAACTTGGTTGTGAACCTCCAATATATCCTCCAAAATGCCTCGATCTAGTATGTTCGTTTTACCTTTGGGTGTTATAATAAACCTCACATAGAGGCCAGCTTCGGTGTTTCTGACTGGGTCGAAATCATTCGTTCTGGGAAACAGTCTCCGCGCCGTGTCTCGCTCTGCCTTTGCCCTACCGTGTTCCGGCGTAAACAAATATTCCACGTCCAAAATTTGCTGAAATCTATAAAATCCCGTCCCAAGAATCCCAGTCACCAGAAGGGGGCCGAAGAACAGAAGCAGGGGGTGCCGCGCCACAAAACGGCCCAGGCGCGCAAACAGGATGCTCAATGGTTTGTCGATGCAGGTCCATTCGCAGCGCATGTTCTCCTTCTCCCGGTGGTTCGCCCTGCCCTTTCCGCCTGGCGATGGGGTTCAGTGATGTTCAGGAGCGGTTCCTCTTGGACGACTGAACTACTGAAACGTCATGAACCGCAGAGTGGATGATGAGCCTCATAATGCAAGGGCTGGTAACGGTGAATCAATGATACGGCAAATGGGGCTTTTGAGAAGGTGCCAGAAGGATCGACGGAGGCAGGGAGGATAGCATTACGTACACGTATAGAATTCTGCGAACTGATCTTATACTGATCTCTTAATTAACCCCTTTTTTATTTTAAAAGAATATATGTTTCATGGACAGACTAATCAAAACCAAGTTAAAAATCCTAGCCGAACAAAAACTTTTTACATTTTAAATATTAAAATATTCATCAGATATGGTATTATGAATTATAAATCGATTTAAAACATCACAAAAGTTGCAAAAACCTTTTATAGCCATGATGTCATTGATTCATTGGTCCATTTCTCCTTCCCTTCCCTCCCCTTTGGCACCCTCTAGTGTACGACACCGGTCATACTCAACTAAGGGGAAAATCTATGGCCAGCTGAGGTCCTTGTATTCATTTGGCAACCATGTTTTTCGAGCGAATCATGGGTGGGATTTATTTTTCTATTGTGATTATCATGTTTACTGATCATAAACGCAGTAACATCATCCACGTCAAACTAAAAACATAAATATTGTAACATATTGGTGAAATGACTCAGTACGTGCAATTTGTTTCAATAAAGTCATTTTTATTATGATATTTTTCACATTCGTCATTATCTTTCACGGAGTATAATGCTTTGATCATTATGCTGTCATATGCGATCATGGACAGATTCAGGGGGTGGGGTCTCCCCCCGTTTCAAAAAGTCTTTCCATCCCTCCCCCCCTTCCCCCCCGGGACCCGAACATTCGAAAAGATAATTTTCAACTCATGCAGAGGTCTATGAAACCATTTTTTTATGCATCAAAGTATTTTTTTTGTTTGTTTTTGGGGAGATAGGGGTGGGGGTGGTGGTGAATGTGGACCAATTTTCTTGAGCTCAATCTCCATCAAATATTGGATATGCAGCCAGCGTGAGTAAATATCATTCAGCATGTGACGAGGTCCCAGCGCACGTTACCGGCGAATGATCGACTGAAAAGTTTTCCAGTTGTCGTTTTCTCCGTTTGATTGTGCTCGTCACTATACACAATTGAGGATCTGATAATATTATCGGTTTTACCAGTGTCCCAAATCACGAATTATCTAACACAATTGTAAATTTACCTTTTTATCATGACGTCTGAAAGTGTACGAGGACTTTTTGAAAATGTCTCAATTTTTCTCCACTTTTAAGGTACAATAAAACAGCCATTTTTTATAAAAGGAAAGTTTTTTTTAAAAAGACTTCAGAAAAGACTAAAACAACATTTCAAATGTTTTTATTAATTTTTCTAAGCACAGTCTTCCAGACTGTCATATACATGTGTTTGCAGATTTACAACAAAACATTAACAAATCTTCTCGAATAAATATCTACAAACCGAAATATTTGTGGGATCACCTTGTTTGTCACTCCTACAACAAACAGTTATCACTTAGTATCATGTAAGGTGTTACTTATTCAATTTTATTTATGAACAATTTTATGTCATTGCACATCCGAATATACAAAAAAAAAAAAAAAAAAAAAAAATCCATTTATGACGATTAGAAAATCTCGACACATTTTAATCTACTTTCATCTAACATCCACCTGGAATCACTAGGAGTTTCAGAGTTTTTTTTAAGAAACTCATCTCAAATGCTACAGTTTATCATTGAGGAGGTTCTGGCAAGCTAAGAAATCCCATTCCGACTCAAGTTTCAACAAAACTGGATAGACCTTGGTCCTTAAATCATGACTAGAGTGACATCTGGATTGATTTAAATTACTTGAGTATTTGCACTGCATATGTTGAGGTTATAACGTTGAATTTATGACTTCTACCCTCATCCATGGCCTTGCATTGAGACAGCACTACAATCCCGAAATGTGTAAACTTAGGAGAAACTTAAAAGCTGTTTTAATTCAAAACAAATTTATATTAACTCATCAAATATATCAAGGAAATGAATAATATAAAACTTCTGTTCAGAAAGTTAATAGGTGATTATGTGACATATTTATCACAATATATTTTTGGACATCACCTGAACTCGAACTGAATATATTTCCAATAGATACAATTGACATATGCTAGTATACTTACAAAATGCTAAAAAATTTTAAGTAAAATTCATCACTCATAAAAATCTGTTTAACACAGTGTCCACAACTAAATGGAGCAGCCAACTTACATTAATGGTACCTATGCCATCTCTTTTACTCACAGAGAAATTTCCTTGATATCAATGATGAATACCAAACCCTAAATTCTTAACTGCTATCTGCTTACNGTCTTGAATCAACTGACGCATTACCTTCATGTTTGAGCTGGACAACGCGGCCATATTTGGTGACGAACTTTTCAAAAATTATCGAGTACCTCATTTTTAAGGTCGACGAAGTTTTCAAAGGGAAAAAAATTACGTCGGCGGCAAATCGTCTGCCGACGAAATTTTCAAGAACGACGAAATTTTCAAGACTTTACCGTATTCCAAGACTGGTGTGTTATTGCTAAGATTGATGACCATTTAATGTGGAGACTTACTTATCAATCACTATCAGGTATAATATCAGACTACATGTAGTATTAATACCAGAACACAATGATGATTCTGCACTGCCCTAAGCAAAACATTGCCGATATCCTTTACGTTGTGAAATTCAACAACTTATTCACACATGATATGGACTAACACAATCCCAGAGTAAATATATTGCTTCCAATTAGGCCCTATGATGAGCTCTGTATCTGTAGCAGTTATCTAGTTATTACAACAGCAGTACCTCACTACCATCAGCTATAGAATATATTTTACCAAGCGTCTTATTAGTGGATTTTTGGTTTCAGTGCACATTTTGTCCCCAAGACAGTAGATGTAAAAAGCTGAATACTCTCAGAGTGAGAACAAGAGGTTTTTCAAAGGACAACCAAGATCTCATTGTTGACCAAAAATATGAATATAATGCCAACAGAAAACTATACTTTTTATATTCTTATCAATACCAACATTTCTCTACATTACTGAAAAGCATAAAATGTCAAATCACTTTTATCTTGCTTTGTGGTTCCATCTAGTAGTAAATCTGCAAGGTCACTTAATTATAGGCTATGCAGCTTTTGAGCAATATCAAAATAACCAAAAAGATAATATAATGGAAAATAACAACCACTATAATATGATAAATTGAATGAAATACAATGATTTTTAATCAAAATATTTAGTAAGACATTCACAAATATTTGTTTCCATAATGTATATGAAACATAAAATTGACTAACTTTTGACCAACTTTTTTCATTCTCCTGTCAATTTGAAATTAATAGTACAGAAGAAGTAAATATCTGCATATAATGGACTTGAGCGTTAAAACTAATTAAAAATACAATTATCCAGACATTTAGAGCCCAAATAAATGTCTAGTGAAAAATGTGCAAGTGTTGGCAGTTCGAAAACCTAACCATAAACTCTTAGGGCGTATTCCCAGACATTTAGATCGATCTATCCCCGTGGGGAGTCTCACTAGATTACTGTCAGATAATCTGGCTTAAATGTCCGTCCCGCCTACTACAAGCTGTAAGGATGTAATTAACTTTCGTGCCTGCTTGGCTGACAGCTATTTAGCGTGAACCCCCAGGGAGTTAGGTCGATCTAGTTTGGATTGATCTAATCTCTGGGAATGGGGTCTTAGACTATATCCTGGTCTAAACCAAGTTTGTTTAAACTTTGTTCATAATGAAAGATGTTTTTATAAACAATGTAAACAAACTCTACAACAAAATTTCAAGATCTGGTTTTCATTTGACAAAAGCAGCCAAGCAGTTATCAAAGAAGTCAGCAGTTGCAAAAGTTTCAAACACAATTTATCATACATGAAGCTCTTGAGGATCTTTCCTCAAATATTCAGTTTCTCCATCAAAGCCAAAAATCATCAAATAATCTATGAAAGACTTTAGTTAGAAAAGTCACATTAAATACACAAAATATTAAGAAAAGCCACCAGCTTATAAGTGAAAGACTTCAATTTGTCAAGTTTCAAAGAGATCTTAATAAAAATTATGTAAATTTATCAAAGTTGTAAGTGACCCTTTTCAAAAGACACCAGTTGAAACGATCAATAGGAACTCTATCAGGATATTCAAAGAAATTAGAAAAAAAAGAGAATAATTCACTGAACCAAGGCAAGTTTATACAGGAATGGCAATAGTTACATGTAGATATATGTATAAATGCAGCTGCCAACAGGTACCATCAGCCTTCTGTGTTGATAGTATTCAATCCATTCTACAGAAGTAAATCATCCACGTCATATTATATATATATATATATATATATATATATATATATATATATATATATATATATATGACGTGGATATATATATATATATATATAAAACAGTCCTTCCAAAGGCTGAGTCTTCCTCAATCAATACAGAAAACACACCGTTAATTTTATAATATATGACAAAACCTTTTAAAGTTTCTGAGGGTTTTCCAGAACGGTTTTGTCCTTTACCAACTGCCTGTCCAAAGGCTCACTGATTTTCAAAGTTTAGCATACAACACAATTGCAGTTGTGCCGGCAATTATTTTTTCCAATTATAAAGGGACTGAAAACATAAAGTATGTGGTCCCACAAAAAAGTTATCAGCTAGGTAGTCACTGCTGCCAGAGGTAGTCTCCAGCCCCTTATAATAAGGCATATGTTACAAGCATCCAATCCAATATGTTATTGCTAGAGTCTATCATCTTGCTTGAGGATCCCACATTGTGATTATGCCCATTCACATACCCATGAGTTCTTTTGGTCATATGTTCCACCTTAGACTAGTCTTTTGGGGGCAAAGGTGGCACATTTAGTTCCATGGTACACATGCAGCCAGTGTTACCAACTTTTAAACATTTCATTGTTGAAAAGATGCTGAAACATCTCTTCCAAAAACTTCTTGTTTCTGGACCACGTGATACTGTCACACCCAGGAATTTCATTGCCAGGGAGTTATCACTGTACAGAGCTGGTAATAGTTCTAGTGTCCAATAAGCTCTCCGTGCCAACAGCTCCACCTTTTTATGACATAATTGCTTCCCTATGGTGCTTTGCATTATGTGGAGCACAGAACCAGTGGCGTTATTGTACATATGTGGCTGGAAAAATGCCCACTTGTCCATTGAGTTCACCCTGCCACCAGCCATCATCTTGTTTGTGGTACACATTAATGGTGTCACCTTGAAAATAGATATACAATAGCATATATAAAGATATTAAAATATTACAATGATTAAAAAAAATAAATATGACTGAAAATATGTTAGAAAACAGAAAAGATATCAGTTATGAGAAGTATATTGAGAATATTCTCCACGATTAATTTGATTACAAGAACAGTAATGGCTAAATGTCCAGACACATAGTACCATAAAAATGTACCATTAAAATGCCAATAGCCAATTATTTACCAGAGGGGAAAATATGAGATAAAAATGCCAGTTGTAACAGTTAAATGAGAATGTGTTCATACGAGTATTGTGAATACCAGTGCTTAAAGACACTTTCAAAACACAATTTCATGACACTTTGTCAGTGGGCAAAATACAAAGATAACATTGATTAAGTTGAAGTAAATATTCCTTTTGCTTTAGTTCAGCATCTTGTTTGTGATATATTTTGTGTAACTACTGTAAATGCATGAGATTCTATTATGTTCATGAGATTCTCTGTATTAAATAAATCGCTGAACTAATTTAAATAATAATTATAATAATTAACACACTACCTGGTCTAATGGTAAGCTCATCACTCATGTTGGCTTGGTATTCATAGATAGCCTGACACGTGCATAACACTGTGGCATTGGTATTGTAATCATCAAATTCATCATCATCTACAACAAAAATATTCTGTTACAAACAACTGTCATTGGCAAAAATGAAGTATCAACAAAAATAGCAAATACAAAAATTAATTTTTCACTATCATCTCCAGTGCATGAACAGCAAAGAAATTAACTAATATTGTAGCCAGAATAAATATCAAATATTTGACATGTACAAAGTAAAGATATTCAAAAACATGTCAACCTGTTTGGAAACATGATACCTAATTAATGATATGGTGTTTCTTGTTTTGAGCATATCTGCAAGAGCATAAAGCAAATCCATACTGTCTTGCTTTGTGGCTCCATCTAGGAATAAATCCCCAAAGTCACATTATTCACGAACAGCTATCAAAAACAACATGTTAAACTCACCAAAGTCTCCATAGGAATGTCTGTCATCATGGCCCCCGTCTGCAGACCCCCTGCCGTGACCCTGTAAGGAGAGGTCAAGGTCAGGTGCTCCCTCCATTGCTATCGAGGCTGGCAGCCGCAACACACTGCAGTTCTGACCCTAGAGATTAACAAGTATACAAATTTACAAAGAATCAGGTGGATTCATCTGTACGGTAGCTGGTTTCATAGAGCCACTGTAAGATAACAGTTATCACTGCAATGTTGTTCTCTAGTAAGTTACAACCTTAAAAATTGAATTACTGACCAGTCCAAGCAGAGAATTATATCGATATAATTCCCTGGTCCAAGTAATCAGATATATCCGACTAGCTAAAACAGGCTTTGTGAATACAGAAATTGGTGTGTGTGTGTGTGTGTGTGTGTGTGTGTGTGTTTGTGTGTTAGTTCCATCTTTTCTTTGTGCTCAGTTTTAACATATATATGCAAATTAGAACAAATGATGCGAGAAAAAAGCTCAGTTCTGACTTCTCGAATGTTTTTTTTTCCCACAATAATCTATGCCAATATACTCATGCATATACATGCTCTCAAACATTCTGGGATAAAATACTCAACTTGGGTTTGCATTTTTGAATTTTACAAAAGTGAAGACAACATATTTGTTTTATGCAAATGCCGCTGGCAAAGAAAATTCACAAGAACTCAAGATATACGTGACATCACTATCTTAATGTAAAAAAAGAAAAAAAATCATACACACTATAAAAGAAATTCAGTGAAAACAGAAAGCATATTTCACAAAATATTGCCATCTACAGATATTCTACCATGTGTCTCTCTCTCTCTCTTTTTTTTTTTTTGTACATTTTAAGCAGGTCTGTGAAAGATGCTCTCAACAGAACAACAATAATTATTTCAATAACATTATAACACTCAAGTTGAAATCACAGTTTCACTTGAATAAACCTGAGAATGTGACAACATAAAAGTTAATATAATTTGCAGAGGTTATTTTACTCGCCATTAATTTAGTAGTATGAGCCATCCACTGGGTAAAAGCATGAGTTAACAATGCCTTGAAATACATTATATATATATATATATATATATATATATATATATATATATACGTACAAGTATATTCATGATAGTAAAGACCAAATGAACATGAAAGCTGATATAATATTAATCAGTTTCTTTCTTTTGTTCTTCTTCATATTCTCCTTCTTATTTATTTATTCTTATTAATTAATTTATTTTTTTATTTTTTTTTTTTGGAGGAGGGGGGGGTCACTAGGGGGTGGTGGAAGGAAGGTTCTATTTTTTACTTAGGCATTCCAAGGAAATAATTTTAAAAAATATAACACACTAGTGTGAGGGGAAAAAAAGCTTTGGTGGGAGCATACTACTAAAAACGAGGTAATACGTAATATTCACTGCAACCTACAACTGACTTAAATAAAGAAGAAAAAAAAAACCTTAGAAATAATTTTTAGCAATCAATAAAAAATAAAATGCTCTCAGGGCCTTTGTTAACACTTACAAGTGGTCTTTTTCTCAAGGTAAGCTTTTTTGACTTCAGGAAAATGAAACCATGACAAATATTTAATTAAAAGTGAGAAAAAATCTAGTTAAGTATTTCAAATGGGTAAAAATAAAACACCTGTCATTTGCTTATATTAAGACAAATAAAATAAATAACTTGTTAGCAATGAGAAGCATAATGTATGTGGTTGGTCTCCATTTAGTTGTAACAAGTAATTTAGCTTTGTGAAAAAAAAATAATAAAAAATGCTCATGTTAAAAGAAGCCTGCCAACATGCAACACATTCTCTACATCACTTTTATTTTTGTTATGAATTTTTCAATGCTCAAAATGACAATTAGCAAACTTCTTTACATTACTGACAGCTTTCATTCCAAAAACTATAATTTGATAAAATGGTTGCTATGTATATACGTACATTGTACAAGTCTAGCCCAATACACAAGCAGCAACAAGCAGCATAAACATCCTGACCAGGTTATAAATACATAATATATATAACTAACACCAAAATCACCAACATAAACCATAGACTCACATACATGTAATTTGTGACCATGGCCATGGCCATTCTGAAAGAAACAGGATTTAAATCATATACAGAACATATGACAAGTGCAACCTGCATTCAGTATTTTAACACTTCTTAAAAGATATAACCAAATCTTTTTTTAAATATTTGGGGTCTTATTATGTGCCCATTATCAGAAAGGCAACTTAGCCCTACCTGGACCCAGATTCATGCCAGGTCCAAAAGATTGTGACACATATTTTGTATGTGGTATCCCCCCCTCCAAGCATCAGATGTAACCGAGAACAATAGGGACATGCTGATAAGACAGAGGAGTTTCTAGTGACCCATAAAACCAAGGGTTTGTATGCCAATCTCATGCAGGCATTTTAGTACCAAAAGTCATATTAAAAAATAAAAGTCAACACATGCCATGAGGCGCGTGCCATAAAGCACATACTTGATATGCAACAAACCACACGGCTCCTGCAAAAAGTCATGTGACAATGTGATGTCACATGACAAACTTTTAGTATATAATATTGCACACAACTGTTAAACTATTCATAAATGCAAGATTCATGCAGCAAGTCTGGAGGCTGGCAATGCATATATGTCTTTGTACGGATATGTATGAGCAAAAGAGACCAGGGATCACAGGGTCCACAAGAAAAATCTCCCATGTCTTAACAAATAAGGCATCTATAGCCAAAACAGAGAAGTTGGAAGAAAAAACGAGGTCTACATGTGACATCATGCCAGTTACGGCCCATGCTAACAACTCTAAGTGCTCCTACCAGGGTGTCCAGGAGAAGTTTGCGAAGAAAATGAGGAAACATGTGACGGCCATGTGGCGCCATCTGCACCTCCTGCAGAGACTAAGACGTGACAATAGAAAATGGTCATCAATTTTTGAGGAAGAGACAAGATATACTGGCACAGGATATAACCCACAAGTTTTGGTTATTTTCACACAACTAGGTGCAAGTAATATCATATAATATCATGTACTGAGACATAATGTTTGCACTTGTGAGTTCTTTGCTTAAAACAGTTTAGTTCAAAAAATGTCTGCAGATGTCACCACTAAACATGAGAATAGATGTCAGAACTTAAATTCAAAGCATAGCTGTCTGTTTGAGGATTCAGAGATCTCTATGTAGTTTTGTGTATTTTAAGATCAATTTGGCTAGTTGGTGACAGGTGATTAAAAACATGTGTCTCTAATTTAGAACCAAATTTTTTCTTAACTTGTTTGAACAAACAGATAACATCTAAGTCAAGCTCAGGTGCGAAACACTAATCAGCATAATTTAAGGATTGGTTATATCAAAATACTCACTTATCTGTTACCAGTGTAGACCAAACCTGTGTCCCTTTCTAATTTTTTTAAAACTAATTGTCTACCACTTTGGTAGATTTATTTCAAGATTCTTTAAGGCATAATCCTACATTTTTCCTTTGTTTTTGCTGGTTCAATATACTAATTGAAAGTATGATCTGGCTAAGGTTTTCAACTTAGCAGGATAAAGACAATCTGTTGGGCATAACTATACATATTAAATATCTACTTGTAAGTGACCTTACCTGTTTGTCTTTGACTTGTTCAATGTATGGAGCAAACCTGTGATCAGGCTTTGGTTTCCCATTGAGCTGTGCTAAGGCACAGGACACCTTGTAATAACTGGCTTCCAGGAAGTTCAGGGTAGCACTCACCTGGAAATCGACCAAGTTCCATGTACTTATCAAAGTTACAGAAGTGTTTAACTCATTCCTGTTATTCTCTGCAGGATATACTATAATTCGATTGAAATTCATTATGCATCCAATTACAATTTGTTTAAAAGATAAAAAAAAAGAAATAAAAAATATTATAAATTTAAACTGTGAGTCTGACCGAAGGCGTGTTTCCAGTTAAAATGGGCTGACCTAAGATTGTACAGCATATATAGTGTTTAAGTGTAATTTTGGAATTTAATTTATCAAATGGTGAAATTCAATTAAAAAGACTTCTTATTGTAATTAACATTTATCATGAAATTTGTTAAAACATTCTACATTCCACAATGTGTCATCTGAAACACTCTTTGTTTATATAAGTACAATCAGTTCCTGGCCATTCTTACGTTCTTTAATTTTCTTTTAGCATCATCAAGTGCTCCCTGATCGGCAAAGTTGGGCGTATTTTTGTACACATCTAATAACTTCTCTACCCCTGAAATATGTGAATTACATGCCATATCAATTTTAGGAACATCACTATATATGAAACAATATATAAATAATATTAACAGTTAAGTTCAAATAAAAATCATCAAATATTGGTATAACATTATAATTCATCTGTTATAATCAATCAAAATGTATGAATATTGTAAAAATACTATAAAGTCGTCTTTGAGCAAGATGTCACTATATAATTTTGCAAATGTGAAAAGCTTTTAACCTTATAAAGCATCAACATCTATTCAAAATTTACCTTCTCTTCCTTTTTTCTCTCGTTCTACATCTTGTTGTAAATATAATAAGTAGTTGGTTAAAGCCTTCCGTCTTCTCTCTGGGTTCATAGTATTGTTAAAATCTTCTGCCTGTTCATGGGCAAATGAAACAAAATTACAAATTAAAAGCAGGTGGTGACCAACAACAAATGTATCGGCATCTTTCTTCCTCAGTCACTACATTCTACTTACATGCTCTTTTGCCCTTCTCTTTCTCTCTCCCTTTTCTTGTACCTCCCTTCTCTGCCTACTTATCTCTCTCCCCCTATTCTTCCTCTCTCTCTCTCTCTTTTTCCCCTTCTCCTCCCCCTCTCTCACCCCCACCTCTCTCCCCTCCTCTCTTCTCTCCTTCCCCTCTGTCTCCCTCCCTCCCTCCCTCTCTCTCTCTCTCTCTCTCTCTCTCTCTCTCTCTCTCTGTACTCACATAGCTTTCAAATAACAGCTGTTCAGGCTGGTGTGGTCCTGTCCCCTTCTGGTCAACCACTGTGGCAAGGTCTCTCTGGACATCCACCACCAACACAGCTTCACGGAGACGATCACAAATCTGGAAAAATAAAGGAGACATATGTGGGGCTATGAGTGACAAATAAATAAATAAATTTAATAACATAAATTAATCAAATAAATGAAGCTAATAAAAATAATAATGAAAGAAATCTAACAGCTCAGAGACCCACAAGCAATTACTCCGATTGGCTTTTAATGTCAAAACAAGTTTAGTTCATAATAAGCAGAACAATTAATTTCAAGATACATCTGTAGCTGTATCGGTATCTGTTGCTGTTTTCCACTAATAGTTAAGTACTCAATGTTTAGCACAATGTATGAACAACTGGTACACTACTTACTTGTATTAATTTGGGCCCTATTTCAGCTAAGCTATTCTGATATTTTTGTAAATATTCTAACATTTGTGATATCCTTTCCTCTTCTAATTTCTGCATCTGCGAACTGCCCTGTAGAATGTAAATTAAAATATTCAAAATTAATAGAACATATTTTTTTTTTCAGATCAGTAGTTACAGTTGCCATATGGAAAGATACTGTATTAGCAACACAGAATGGTGTGCTGCACTAAGTGAAAAGGGTCATAGTCATCAACAGATTCATAATTTTTTCATGGGTAACAGTCCATATTCATCTCATGGAAAGCAATCCCATGTGTACAAATTAACATGCTGGTATATAGAACTTACATTATAAACCTCTGCCTCCCACTCTTGTCTCGCCACCTCTGCTTTCTGGAAAGACTCGTGGTACTCAGTGTCTGCCTTAGCTAGTGATGTGGAGGCACTCCTACATTTCTTCTCCAGCTAAAACAGCGAGAAACAGAAGGGAGTTGAAGGTTTGAGTTTGCTGATTAGTTCGAAAGTTGAAACAATATGAAAAATTGTGTTTGGTCAAAATGATTAACATGGTCAAAAAAAGTAAAGAAGTATCATACATATATATGCGTGCATATACATATATACAAATCCTGAAAGAAGACAAAGTTTTTGACAAAGAAGCAGGATCTGTGCTGTAAATCTAACTATTACTCAACTGTAGTCCTGTATGTAATACTGACCTTTGTTATATCTTTGTCTGACATTTGCTTGCTTTTCCCAGCCTTGGCGTCCTGTAACTGTTCACTGAGTTTTTCTGTCTCTTTACAGCAGGAGAAGGCATGCTTTCGCATCTAGGAATACATATACAATAAAATCAAAATGTTTACATATCTGAAAAAGGAGTGTACATATAAAAATGTTGCAGAATTTATTGTTGAAAATAAATGGTTGTTAACAAATGTAAAATATCAAACTTGCATTATAGCAAGTTATATCTATTGATGGCTATATTATCGCTATTATCACTACTGATACAGCATATATAATACACACAACAATGATGATAATGGATCTACTTCTACCTTTTGCTCCTCTTCTCTCCTGTTCAGCAGTCCTTTAGCTGCCTTATCTACCATGTTTTCAATCTGCAATTGAGAAAAGTATGGATTTATCCACTTTGCATAATATACATATATGTAAAAGTGTGTGTGTGTGTGTGTGTGTGTGTGTGAGAGAGAGAGAGAGAGAGAGAGAGAAAGAGAGAGAGATGTCAAGCTACCCCATACTTACAGGTTTTCTTATCTTATACTGTGTTTCTGACAGAACTTTCAAAGGTTTGTAGATATCTTCTTGAAAAGATGTGGCTAAACCCCTACAAAAATGGATAAATATATTTCTGAAAATCATTTAGTTTTTGCCCATCATAACACTACATTTTAAAAACAAGATCAAAATCCCTCATATCCTGGCTTAATATTCTCTGCTATCAAAATCCAAAATGTTTTTAGATTCCCCTGAGCTTCAGATCTGATGCAAGTTAGCTCCATTTAATGATTTTTTTTAGCTTTTTATCAAAACTAAAAGCTAGCATAGGGAGTCTCCCATTTATGCCACACTAAATCACATGATCATCAAAACTAGCGATTTATTCTTTTGTAAAATACATGAGCATTATTATAAAATACAAATTTATTGGTTGCATGGGATACATTAGTTTCTAATCTACTGTATTTGGGAAATTTGAAAAAAAAAATGCTGTAACTAGCACACATTGGAGACAGAGACAACCTACCTGTGTAACTCCGCCTCGCTCTCCATCTCGGAGGCTGCTGTTCCCCAGGCTGAGACCATAGTGCTGGAAATAATTATATCGAATATAAAGAGAGGATCAAGATACAGATATCAATTTCTAGTAACTACTAATACATGAAAATAACTGTGACTGGTAAAAATTTAAGTAGGTATCTGGAGGCTCATGCCAATATTGTCATAAGTTCACTGATCTTTAAAGAAACTAATGTTTTTGCCTTTTCTGTTTTCTTCCATCACTTGTCATTGCTGTAACAGTTATTCAAGATATCCACCCCCTACCTTCCAAAAAAGACTTAACACTTTGAAGGCATTCAATCTTCATAGACATAATGTCTTACTTCAAAAAAGTGACAGCAATTAATTGGGTAACCTCTATTTTCATAGATTATCATAGATTGTCTTTAACAAATTCAAATAAAGAAGAAAAAGAAGCTGAAGTGACCCCCAGATATTCCTTATGAGGAGTGTCTACAGAGGTCATTTAGTCCATACAAATTACAGGGGGCTAATATCTGGGTACATATGGTCAGCCCATTTCTTATCTTGTCAAGTTGTGGCCAGTAAAGTACACACCCTACCCCTCACTGTTATTTAACAAACCCAACAATTTTGGGCTAAGTTTTGCATAAAAATTTTTGTTTAGGTCATGGAGTTCAAAAATTCAGTCAAAAAGATGGTAGAGAAAGAGAGAGAGAGAAGAAGAAGAAGAGAGAGAGAGAGAGAGAGAGAGAGAGAGAGAGAGAGAGAGTACATTCTTTTCTTGTGATTATTACTTTTTTAATATGTAGAAAACTTCAGTTGCATAAAATTTGAAGAGAGAGAAACCACATTCTTTGCTTATGATCATTACAGTTTTACTTTTACTTTTCTTATTTGTGGCTTAAGAAACTTTTGAAAACCAAAAATAGTGTGAAAACCTTTTACTCTACTGTAATCAGATCTTATATCTCTGCCTGTCAGCCATGAATTTTTTTTAATTTGAAAATTGCCAACAGCACTGAAAAGAAACACAAATACAAGTGGTCTGATAACACAATGGGTCGATAAATTGTCTATTTCTATATTTTGTTCTATTTTTGGCACATTACTCAATAAATAATTAAAGGGATAATAACTCTTCGTTTCGGCCAAAAAATGAATTTTCCTGGAGTAAACAACAATTTTCCCATACTTACCAATGGTTAATGAATCCATTTTTACATTCAAAGTTAGTCCCTGTTTTTTTTCTAAAAAGTTTGGTTTTTTGTTAAAATCTCTTAAGAGATTTTAACAGAGTATAGCCATCAATGGAGGTCACGTGGTCTAAAGACAAGCTCAGATATCAGAAAAAATAGCTATAACTGCCTTTTTTGTGGTAAAACAGAATATATTATATTTCTATGAGTTATTCACAATGTTTTTATTGTGAAATATAGATCTCATACGAAGAGTTATTATCCCTTTAAAAACCATTATTCTGCTGATGTACCTGATGTAATACAAAAGCATGTATTCATGAAACACTGGTAGCAAATGTGAAAGTACAAAATTATTTCCTGGTGTGTCATTTTTATACAAACCCTCATTGTGAAAAAGGAAACTAAACACCACTCAACGCTTACACAAACATGACAGTTAACTAAATACTAGACCTACAAACAACAGCAGGTGGTTTAAAAATAAGCAAATAATCTGTCCTACTTAGAGGACAATGGTGTTGGAAGACCTGACTGAGGTCATCAAAATGTGGAGTCATCAAGTGACAATGGGTCTGTTTCACCCTGGCTTTTTGTCCTCCTCATCATCAAAAATAGCAGCCGATTCCTTAACTCACCAAGTGATAACATATCTGTTAGGTCAATAACTGGGTATTTTAGCCTCATTAAAAATTTTAAACTCTATCAATGAAAAAGCTTAGCTAAAAATTGCATAACATTTTATATTTTCTTCTGATAAATCAGTTTGTATTAGTTTAGTTTGTATTATATTAAATTATTCATCATCTGGCAAAAATTTATTCTGATAAAGTGAGTCCCTTTGGTAACTGTTAAGTACTACTCACAGAATGAATAATGACGTCATGGCAATATGACACCTGTATCGTGACACATGCTAAACCAAGAATTTGAATAATTTTTAACAAGGAGAATTAGGCACTGAACCAGCAATTACAAAGATGAGAGGGGAGGGGTCTTTTTCTGAATAAGTGGACCTTTTTATCCCCTTAGTTGACTGAACTTGGGATAACCCCCCCCCCCCCCTTCTGAAAAACTTAATAGTGAGGGAAAAGAGAAATGTCTTTAAATGATGGACATAGCTTACAACTTCTGTGGCCAGAACATCAGTAAAAATATCTAGTCGAATTTTCATTTACGCATATATGCTATACTATTCTGTGTCATCCTAACTTAGGCACTACAACTATTAATTATTCTAACAACACTAATTTTGCCATTGAATAGGATGGATATGCTTATTTCAAACTAGAGGATCAGAGAGGCGTTACTGCCTCGGAATATTGTACCACCAGCTGGAGCAAGCGCATTCGTATAGACCCCCACATACACAAAATAAGGGACACAGCCACCAGTCTTGTGCTTGACAAGATGTAAACATGCAATCAACAAGAATTTTCAATATATGCAAAAAATATATGAAACTAAAAATGGTACAATCAAATTTAAGTTCATCGTAAGATAGGTGAAAGGTCATTTTCAAGGTCACAGTAAATTGCCAGTATATGACTTCCTATTCAAGTTCAATAGTAACTATGGACCTATCTCTGCCAGGTTTGGAGTTAAAAGAGAAAGAAATTAGCAGAGTTCAGTTCATGATTATAAGTAGATCAAAGGTCAATTTCAAGGTCACAATTAGATTGCCAGTATATGACTTCCTCTTCAATTTCAATAGTAACTATGGACCTATCTCGCTAGTTTTGGAGATAAAAGGGAACCAAAATTTGCAAAGTTCAATTCATGATAAAAAGTGGGTCAAAGGTCAATTTCAAGGTCACAGTAAGATTGCCAGTATTTGACTTCCTATTCAAGTTCAATAGTAACTATGGACCTATCTCTGCCAG